TTTCTCGGGATACTAACACATCCGTCGACTTACAAATTGATGGCAACCTACGTACGATGCCCCGAACAATGGGCTAAGCTAACCTCTGTGTCTTTTGAAAGAACACCAGGTACACAAGTCTTACGAGGCCATGCTTCCGAAGAACTATGATATTTCAATTCCCCCCCACCTTTTACTCTATCGCTCACTTGCGACACATATGACAAAGAGGAGCATATGTAGATACCCCAATCTCGATTGAGGAAACCCCCGGGGACCAAACGCTCTAGGAAAACTACCCTGATACTTGAATCATTCACACCCACTTTAACCCATCTGTAAAACTAGACCTCACAAGCCCGCAAAACAAGCAGACAGGGACAAGGAAACTTGTGACTCAAAATATGTCAAAATAATAATCAAGATCGTCAAACCAGGAGCAACTTAGGAAAAAGAATGATCTGACGCCACTCCAAGTAGCCTCGGTGCATATCTTAGTAGCAAAAGAGGGTAGAGAGAAGACAACAACCAGAAAACAATTCGGAAGGAGAGTGAAGGGTCCAGTGCCATGACCAATGGCACTGGTGCCCCGTGAAATTTTGTCAGACAAGTTTCGTATCAAAATGACGACGGTTTGCATAAATGACATAAAGTGGAGTAGTGATGCTTGTCAATATGGACTGACACCTGTCAGGTACTACTAATGTGATCTATGATGACGGTACAAACATACGTGTCACGTTTTGGTGGACTAGGATGTCCAGTCAGCCGCCTAAAGTCTAATGCATTGGAATAGCCATCAGAAGCCATCACCATCCAAAGTGGCACAAAAGGAAGACCAAGTAGTGCCTAACCTTAATCAGAACACGTGGCACTTTTGAAAATGGCACAGTTCCAAGTAGCATCAATACGAATCCTTGACACAACGTGCACAAATTGTACCCTATCTAGCCATGTGAAAAAAAAATTTAATGTGACACTTATTACTAGAGGTGGAAATTAATGATGATTGAAATAGATCGGGTGCTAGTGTTTGTGGCTTCGGAGGCATTCAGACGAATGCCCATAGATGGATGGCCAAGATTGACCCTAGAAATGATCCAATGGCTCTCTTGAGACTGATTTAGCTATAAATAGAGCACATGGCCCCATGTTTAGGAGATGAATTTTTGGACAATAAGCTCATAAGCTTTATCGAACTAAACTTTAAGTAAGAAGGGAATTTTTTTACACATTTATGGCTTAAGCTCTGTCGAATTGAAGGCTGAATTCATACATTAAGCACATAAGCTCTGCAGATCCGAATCCTGACCAACCCGAACCCTACCTAACCCTCGAGAACTACAGTTTATACTATAGGTGACCCGGATAATTTTACCTTCCGAGGTCCTCTTCCTCCTACATTCATTCGCTCTATCTGAACCCGGAATATTGGGATTAACTGTGCAACCACTTGCTTTGAATTGGTAACGGCTCTAGGTGCCAAGCAAAGGGGCCCGACCTAAGGTTCCTCTTTTTTTTCTCTTTAATGTTGCATCATGATATCCATGTTTTCTCCTGTTCTTCCATCAATGAGCATTAAGGTTTTTCTTTGAATTCTCTCTCTCTTTCTCTCTCTCTCTCTGATATTAAGACCCTACATTAAAGCTTACAATGTCCTCTCCACTCCTCTGATTCTCAGTCATAAGTAATAATAAAGTTTATCCATATTCATCTTTTTGAGGATTTATAATTATTCATAAGCATCCTTTGAAGTTTTGCTATATTAGTTCGGTTTGCTTCAATTTATTTGATTTCTTTATCATCTCTCTATTTCTAAAACATCTTCATTACAACCTCCCCCTTTCCCTTAAACTATTTTGCAAAGATTTTCTTCCACTCCAAGGCTAAGGTGCACAGAAAGCCGGCATTGTTCGAGCGGTATGGCCTTGTTGCTCTATTCTCTCTTAAGACGTAATTTGACAGGACCTTTCCTCTATCAACTCTTCAACATATTTGTACCTGAAACCAAGGCAGCGAATCAAGTTCTTTGCTCGCATTTTTTAGTATAAACATTTAGTTAAACTTTCTAAAGCTTCTCCCAAGCGATCATCCACAGTAGGATTAGCTTTCAGTGGCATTACAAAAAACTAAATCTTACTTGCTCTGGCTGGATCTTGCTTTCTTTGAAACCTACTGATGCAAGGAGAAATAATTAAAATAATAATAATAATAAAGGATGAGATATTATACCCTCTCTCAGAGTCTACAAGGGAATCCACTCCAAAAGATATTTTCATTAGATCAAATCTTTATTCAAATCCCAATCTCCTCTCTCTACATTGTACAACTTCCTTTTATAACTACTACCTCACGTTAAAATTTACCTCCAAAAAATATTCACCCTTAGTTAAAAAACTATTCCTAATAACCCTTAAGAGTTATTTCTAAATAATAACCCCACATTTTACCTAATCAAAATGTTTACCCAAAAAGGATTGAGAAGATAAAGCCCCTCTTGGTAAGCCTTATTCTAAACAATTCACGCACAAAATCCTCCCTCCTCCCAACTTAACTTAAATTATCCTAGCACAATTCCTATTCCTAAAATTAAAAAAAGAAAATAAAAAAATTAAACCCTAATTTTATTTGCATTGTAGAGTATTCGAGACGAGAAATAGGAACACTAAAGTTTGGACTATTAAAGCACCAAAAGGGCCAAGGCTTTTCCTTGGCTTTTTGAATCAAGTCATATCCTTATTGTGGAATAATTGAGGAAGAGGGGAAAGATCTTAATAAATGTCTGCATCCTTTGTAAATAAGATGTAGAAAATAATAACCATTTGTTAATCCAGTTTCCTTTTCTTGGTCTCCTATAGAATTGGATTTCTAGTGTTTCTAACTGGCAATGAGTGATGCTTGAGAACATCGAACAATTCTTTGCCTTTATACTTAACTTCCCCCATTCCCTAAGACTAGAATTCATCTTTGGCGAATTTTGGTTGTTGTTATGTTGTGGTCTCTGTGGGAAGAACGAAATTCCATGATATTTGAGGGGATATCTCATGATTTCTCTGATATCTCTCAAGGGGTAATGAGGTTAGTATTTCAGTGGGCCCAAGCTTTCTTGAGTTAAAGAGCTACCCCAAAGAATTATTTTCCACCAATTTCGTTGTTCTTCTTTACATTCAGCAAATGAAAGTTGTTAAATCAACACCAATATGTTGTCTTAAGCTGAATTTTGACAGTAGTGTAAGATCAGAGACTCAGAAAACCAGTTATGGTGGCATTCTTAGACTCGCTCATTGGGAAGTCATATTCACCTACAATGGTCAGCTTAATTTTTGTGATAACAACGATGCTGAGCTTAGGGCTGTTAAAGGAGTTCTAAAGTCATAGGAGGATCATGTGCGTGTCTTCATACAACATGACTCTGCTAATATTTTCAAATGGTGCACCCATCCTCACCTGATTAATTGGTAATGGACTTCTATTATGTACAAGACTTTACTTGCTCTCTTCGAGAAAGGGGTCTTGTTTTGTCACATCAATAGTAAAAAGAATGGAGATGCTGACAGCTAGGCGAAACTGGCTTCCTCTTAATCCTCCTTGCTTCTCTCCCTTCTCTCTTCTCTCATTTCGCCCCCCTCATCATCTTCTTTCTTTTGCTTTCTCTGTTATTACCTTTTTGTAACCCCCCTTTCTGTTAATGAAATCACTATTAACACTAAAAAAAATAAAAGATTGTTGGCAAGAGACATGAATCTCACAAAGTGGAACTCATGGTATTATGACTTCTACAACTTGTTTGGGAGCGTATCTTGAACATGCTACAATAACAGTTCCACAAGGAGCCTTCCATCATACAAATCTTAGATTGAGCTCAAATTTAAGATTTCATGGTTCGGAAGATACTATGCACTTGTGGTAAAGGAAGGCTGCACCTGGGCCGCCTTGGCCCGGCATGTTAAAGTAACGGGCCTTGAGTACACGTCAGGCCTCGGCCCACGGGACATATAAAGAGGCACTTCAAACCCATGAGTGGGGGGGCTTTCCAAGCCTTGGCTTGCCTTTCAATCTAATTGTTTTAAGGCACGGCCTGTGAAGGGCTAGGCATTCATGGCCGTACCAGCCTACACAACTCCATTGCACCAATGAATGCACTCATTCAAAAGAGCGTATCAAGTGTTAGCCATATGCCAAAAGGAATTCTACTCTAGTGGGAGTAGAACATCCATTTACTCCACTGGGTAAAATCCACCTAGAATTAATGTTGGTTATGTAACACCTTCAACCCAGAGATCAACCTCAATAAAGCAATTTTTTAATTGTACCCTCCATGTACATGAAAAAAATAATGTCTCGAGATTGAGTAAAGATCATCTGATCGTTAGATCGTGAGATCTAAGTGTTACAAAACTCAAATTTCAAATTTCCTCTTTGAGAATAATTATCTACTAATTCTTAAGTAGTTCCCAAAACTGCATATGAAAAGATTCTTCCCATGTAGATCTTCTGATTAACAGACTAGAAGTGAACTATCTTGCTTAGGGTGTATAGCATAGTATACATGCTCTAACCATATTTGTCAATACTATGACAGGCATGTTCCTCACTCTCGACGCATTGCACATACACCCACATGTCCTTTACAATTATTCATTTTTTATAGTTCATAAAATTGGAGATGTAGCTTCCCAATCGTCAACTACTAACCAATCAAGCTCAAGACCAATTCCTACTTTCTTTTGGCATTTCCTTTCTACCAGCCAAAGACCCACTCATGTTTGCTTCCACAAGCTTTTTTAACTCAAGTGGAGAATCCTGATGGTCATAGTTTCCCTTTATATTTCTATTCAGATATGTTCAAGCGAATAATACTTTACTATCAGTATTAGTCTTCTTTTTCTCTTTTCAACCCTTATGTTCGATGCACATGCCGGCCACTAGCATCAATGTGGATTGAAAAAATCGGCTCATATGCAAAAAAGAGAGTGGCTAATAGGGAATCAACAAAAACATTCACACCCATTTCCTTGAAGTTGATAATTAATGAAGATAAATTAAATTGATTTGGTTCTCATTACAGATTGCTACATTATTCACTTTAATGGGTCATAATTGGTCCATTTTAGAAGGTATTGAGAAGAGAGACCAAATGTGCTCCATCTAAAGAAGACCTAGTGCATGGAATTTAGAGAAATATTAAGCTAGCTATACTTTGGTGAATTGTGCAACAAATTGTTCAATTTGATCAGTGGTCTCTCTAGGGGCCTCCAAATTTAGAGGGTGGCCAAAGAGGAGCACCGTTATCACTGGTCACAAGAGTTGTGCAGGACAGCGGCACAAGGCAAAGCCCTCTACTTTTCAGGTCTCTCTTGGGTTCTCCATCTCCATCTTTGTCCCCTTCATTCTTGGTACGGTCCTGTGAAAAAATTAAAAAATTTATAGAAAAATATGAAAACTTATTAAACAAAAAATTTACAAAAAATATTGAAAAAGAAAAAAATAAAAAAAAAAGAAAAAGAAAAAGAAAAAAAGATATCAATCCATAAGAACTCTACGAACTGAATTTTAAAACAAAGAAAAAAATGATTGCGAGCAATCAATCATTTCTAATTTTAGATATGAACATTCAGAAAAGAAAAAAGACATATGGAAAGTAAATGTTGAATATCAGATTAAGTCATTAAATAATAAATCAATAAACTAATTACCATTCCTCCCGAGCCCAACTAGACATTAAAATAAAATTCAATTAATTAGTAATGAAATAAAGTCCTTGCAATTTGACTACATTGTAATTTAAAATAGTGACAAGACATTTTCAGTTCTCAGATTAAGCAAATTTAAAATTTTTTAAAGATAGAGAGATACATAAAAAATTTGGCTAAAGAGACGAATTTTTGAAAAACTATAAATATGAAAAACGCAACATTTCATGGTGTACAAAGCTGCTAAAGGGAACAACAATCTTGTGTTGTGATGGAAATATTTCAAACCCTAATAGTGCAATCTAAAGCTCAAAAAATGCAGATCCATAAGTAACTAATTCAGAAAGCTATAAGATAGACTCATCCTTAGGAGTTCGGACTTGGATATTTTGGTTTTCTATCCATAATTGTTGAAGTTTAAATGACGAATTTGTAACGTTTTTAACAACTGTATTCTCAAGAGAGCTTTAAAAAAGAGGTAATCAATTATCATGTTTGGCATAATCGATTTTAGATAGGGTGGGAATATGGTTGGGTTAGGGTAAGGGTAGTAATAAATTGTATCCATGTTCCAAGTAAATTGACCTGGACTTGACCTACCAGGTCAGGTAGGGACCGGGTCTACAAATACAAAAAATAAAAAAAATGAAAAATACATTTGAACCCTATCGGGATAGGAACTAAGTCGACTCGACTTGACAAGTTGGATCAAGACCCAGACTTGACCGAGGTCAAGTCAAGGTCAAATAAACCTAGACCTTAAGGTTAGATCTGAGTTGCAGCCGCATAAAGCCATGGCCTCACAAAATCCTTCCCTACATATTTTTTATTAGGAAAATTGTTTCATGTGGGTTAGACCATATTTCTACATATGAGGTCCAAAAAGTGTAAAGCATCCATCTTAAAGATGGATGCAAGTAGATGTTCCATCTAAAAACAATGGCAATTAAGGGATCAAATGTGGTTTTACTAGAATTATTATTTTTAGATTTTAAAATTTATTTATTTATTCATATTCATGATCTCCATGTTAGAGATTATATGTCCTTAAAAATTAAGTCTTAAAATCCATCTTAAAAATAGATTTATTAAGAGATCCATATTTCTACATATGCGGGCATGACCGCATCCAAACCGAATCGTTTTGATTAATCAAATTAGGCCTCCTTCATAAAAAAAATTGAAATTATAACGCGCCCGTAATCTTTTACCAAAAGGACCAACCTTTAGACCGAGTTAGACCCCAAAAGCTGACCATGAAAAAGGTCTTGGTTCTCTACCTTTCCCCAAAAGCTGACCATGAAAAAGGTCTTGGTTCTCTACCTTTTGTGGCTACATTTTTATAGTAATATGAAATAAATAATAGTGAATCATTGAAGATGTCCGAAATCTCCCTAAACATAAGAAGAAATGACAATTCTACCTTCTTATAATTTGCACTCTCTCCTTTGCCATCTCAGCTAGGGAGTGTACCTAGCATGCATCATAAAGGACATATGCTCTACATGACACTCGCTCTCTCTCATGAACAAACTACGAACACAAACCCACGCCTCTATGACCATAATCAGGGGGTCGCAAACGGCCGGACGCAGTCTAGGCCAGCCTTGCCCTAGCTCTGCCCCAATCCCCGTAGGGCCGGCCAAGCCCTATTAGGGCGAAGCTGGAATGGGCCAATAAAAACAAAAAACAAAAAAAAGAGAAGAGGGCTGGCACTCTGACCACAGTTCATGGCCGAAGCCCTAGTTTTCTAGAGCTTGACCTAGCCGTCTGGGCCCAATTGTTAGCCGTAACACAAAACTTTCTCACACATCTCTCTCACAAGTTCTACTGTGAAATGCGCATGGTGGAAGCTCTCTCTCTCACACACGCATCTCTCTGCGTGCACGAGTGCGAGCTCGTGTGTAGAGAGTAAGGGAAAGAATAAAGTGGGGTTATGGGTATGATGCGATACCCCATGGCTTCTCCTGCGGCCCGCATTGGCATTGCTACCAGATAACTTCATATATGGCACGCTCAGTGTCTGCAACACAAACAAAAGAGAATCTCTTTCTTTTACTTCTAAACAAATAAAGAAGAAAACCAAACTCAACTAAAAATAGATAAAGTTGCACTGTCCACTAACCTGCAAAAAGGACATCTTTCTATCTTTCTTTCTCATAATTTAATCACATTCTCATTTTATTCATTTTTTTCTATTTCTTTTAAAAGAAATTGGGTTAGATCAACCATCTGTTTGCTTACCTCGACTTGTTCTTGGAGGAATTTTATATACCCAATGGCTTCCATCAATACAGATGCAGTGTCAGTCTGCAATTTTCACAGCCCATAAAATCCCTATCAAATTCTTCATATTATATTATTTCGTCCACAACATTCTCACGAAAAGAAGTTAAAAAGGGGAAGACAAATGGAGGCAAGACATTCTCTATGGTTTAGATTCAGTTAGTTACCAGATTTTAAAAAATCCCCCCATTCTATGTGTTGTCTTATGATGCCTTGTTTTCGAAATCAGAACTCTTTAGTGAATGTTTTTTATTATTTTTATGCTTTGGTACTTGTGTCCTCTCTCTCTGTCTCTCCACACAGCCACACCTAGGACATTCAAAACTACCAGAGGCGAACAATGTTGAGTTAGCTGTAGCAGAAGAAATGCTATTGCCATTAACATTATAGATAGAAGTAAAGCATGGATTTTCAATTAATTTTTTAAAATTACAATGAATGAATGGAGCACTCTGCGTGTTTTGGTTGAGCTCTTGCAATTGTTGTCTAAATTTGGCGTTTTCATAGGGTTTCAGATTCTCTTTCCTCAATAAATTTTGAAAGAGGGTTTTCAATGAATATGATATGTGTATCAATCGATAAGAGAAGTAGCATTGACCTGTGCTTCCAAAATGGAAAAAAAGGTATAATCATTGGAGCATGGTTCCATGACTTACCATAGTCCGACTGGACTCGGTGAGTTATTCGTCCCAGAGTTTATGTATAATTGGACTTAACATAATTTTTTTAAAAAAAGTTCAAAAAAATGGTTAAAGTTATAGTAATTTTTTTTATTTATGTTTGAATGTTTTTGGAAAGGATTGGTGAGTTTTTTTTTTTGTCATAATCCCTGTTTTTTTTACTTTCTTTTTTCTTGAATTTCTGTTAAAATCTCCGGCGTATGTTTTGGATCATTTTTTCTTATACCCTTTTAAGCTTATTTGGACTTTTTAAGTTTTCTTTTAGATTTATTTTATTTTACCTACCTTCACTCATTTCTATATTTTTCATTTTTTCTGGAACTCCTTGGTCCCGAGCAAGAGTCGAGTGAGTCCACTAAGACTCGCCCTAGTTACTCAGCTCAGCCAAGGGTCGAGTCCCTTGGTGGAGACAACTTTCTGAAGTTTGCTTTACAAAAAGAGAAAGGTGCATAGAGAGAGAGAAAGAGAGGTGCTGCATTTTATTGTTTTTGGTCACTCTAGTTTTGTTAATGAAATCAATAAGCCCCATAGGACTGCAGTACATTTTTTAGGGAAGTGGTCAGGGCTAACCTTTCCAAATGGTGCTACTAACTGCTGTAGTGCTGTGATTCTATCACCTAATTTCTCCCTTCTAACCTGCTTCTTCGACGTATAAACAAAAATCAAATGACCTATACAATCACTTATACCAACAGAACACAATACCCTAAATAGAAAATCTAATAACATGAGAATTCCATTTGAGTAACAAGAAAATTCTTAACCTAGGCAAAAGGAAGAACAAAACATTATTCTAATTGCCTTTTACCAACCTTAAATGGTGGAAATGAAGAACTAGCTTCGAATCGCCGCCTCTTTGATGGTGCTTCTGATGCAGTGGTCGAGCCCATGCTGCCAAATCTACATGCTCCGGCAGTTTCCTCCATGAAAGTAGAGATCTATGAATTAAGAATAATTAGTTATATTCACCACTAATTTTTTTATTGCCACCACACTACAACTGTATTGTTTGAGAATAGTGCAAGAATGACACCGCAGAAAGAAAATGAGTAAATTATAGAGATTGCTAATGAAATAAAATTAAGTGAGAATCTGGTAAATAGGGGCAAAAAGAGAGAGTAAAAAGTGATAATATGTAATAATTCACAAGGTCAGTTTTAACATTTAAAAAAAAAAAGGTTATGAGGTCAGTTTGATATTGATTGTAGCAGCATATATTCATCTTCTATATTGTGGATGTCAGTAATGGAGAAGAAGCCCATCCACTTGAAACTATAAGAAATGGTACTATGAACAAGTCATGATAATTCTTTAATAACACTGGTTGATGCTTTTTCTTCTCTTCTTCTTGCTCCTGTTAATACAAAAACAATTACTAGTGCTGAAACCACCACCACAGCAATGACGGCGACAACAAAGATAATGACAACAAACAAAGGCAGCACTAGGAATAACAATAAACAAAATGAAGTAGTATCAGTAGAAGGTTACATGTTGACCCACCTTGTGTGGAATACTTGATGGCCTTTGCAGATGTTTTTGTGGATATTCTAACCCACATGATCTGGCTTCACTTAGTGAACCTGGATAGCACGCTGATGTTTGGTGAAAAATTTCCCCAGATTTAGCAGTGACTGAAAAATTCAGAGCTTGCATCAAATTTTCACATCTTGGATTCACGAGTGATGGGGTTGGATACAACGATGTGATCTCCACTGATGGAAGAACTTGAGGAAACAAACCACTTCTGCTAAATTTAGGGAAATGGGCTAAATTAGCAGGTGATTGATAAGAATCCCTTGCTGAAATTGACGATCCAAGGATTTGGCACTTCAATAAGAGGTTTCTATTGAACTCTTCTAAATCATTGTTACTTTTACAATAATCCAATTGAATCCCTTGAAAGATAGAGGGCTCACTAGCTAATCTGCCATAATTTGACATTGGATCTGAAATTTCTTGCTTCATTTTCACTTGTGTAGGAAGCTCTTGATCAGAATTATGTGCATAATTTCCATTACTAGAAGTGCAGTAAGTGAACTCTAGTTTGGGTATCATTGACGTACTCTCGCTGTAATTGGGCGGAATTTGGATTTCATGATTTGGCTTCAAATCTCTTGGTTCAAATGGCAAGGCACTATTGTTCAGATTGAACATTTTCATAGCCTGCATCATGTTTTCACTGTTCCCAACATTCCTGTGCCATTGGAGATCATTATATTACTCGCTTTTATTCAAAATTATAGGAATTTATTGAAACTTACATTTCAAAATGGAATGAAATATACAAAATAGTTCAATAAAAACTAACAAAAGAACCCCTTTATGGTATTGCACTGTAACATAATCTTCAAATCAATTAGAAAAGGTCAACTTTTCTCCATGTTTTGAGGAGTTTTAAGGGAATTCATGGCTTGAAAACCAATAGATCTCGTAAAGTCACTATGTACAGAAATATAATCTACAAATAAAAATAATGAGATTCGAAACCAAACATCTGCAGTGCAATTTATTTTGATAAATTCAAGCAAACTATTAAGAAACCTCCAAGTTTTTGTCACTTTCAAGGTAATTTTCATGGAGCTAGATCCAAGGAAACCTTATAGTTTGATTGCGTATGATTTGCAAATACTTTGAAAAACTTCTTTTAACAACCTTCAGTATAAATAGGAGCTCAGAGAGAGAGAGAGAGAGATGACTTACATGATAGGATTTTGGTTCCAGTTACTGCTTATTATTCCATGAAAAGATGAAGCTTGGAGACAGGAACTCAAGAACTGGTCTTGCTGCTGATGGTCTAGATTTGCAGAACCCATGGTGGATTCTTAAACACTGTAAATCCAATGCCCACCAGTAAACAAGCTTTGGAATCTCATTCAGCCACAAAAAGTGTGAGTCAAAACAGAACACAAAGACCTTTTGCTTTCAACCCCCACCTCTACGTTAGCCACTAAGTAAAATTTAAAGTGTAATAAAGTTGAAGAAAAAGTTGAAGAAGACGAAGGAAAGAGAGCAAATACAAAAATAAAAAATAAAAAAAATATAGTAAAGCTACTCTCTCTCTCTCTCTCACT